TCTGTCTGTCTGTCTGTCTGTCTCTCTGTCTGTCTCTCTGTCGGCCTGTGGTAAATGAGGTTGATTTCATGTTGCTTTTATGTGGCTTTTTCCACAGCTGTGAATGACGAATTACGTCACTGGTTATTTACTGGTTATAAATATTTCTTACTGGCCATAAAAAGTTTGTTATTATTATTACATATTTTGTCTCTAAGTCTTTAGAATATATATGTATATCAGTGTGAATCACTCTATGTCTCTGTCATGTGACACAAACGCATCCAGACACATTGTGAGTTTGTAAGTCACACACTGGACGATACGTCAGCATATGGTGGAAATAAACTCCCAGATGACACATGACAAACCTAATACAGTACAAAACCGCATTACACAGCAGCAGTCTGACCCTTGACCTTTAGCCGTCATGCAAATGAGCAGGTGAAAATGCAGATGCTTTGATCTTTTATTGTGTGATATTGAAAGTGCTGATAATAAAAGCAGTTTTCTGGAGGTGTTGAGAGCTTGTGTGTGTTTTGAGCTGTTCATTGGCGTGTTGTTGATGTGGTTGCAGGTTTACGCGCCGCTGATGCTCAGATACGCAGCGCTGGAGGATCAGCTTCTCAAAGATCATCAGAAATCACAGCATCTGCTGTGAGACCTCTTCATACGGCTGAATATAATACTCATGCATTATATTCATACAACACGTCTACAAATCATTCCTTTGATTCGTTTTAAAGCGTACTTTAAAAGTCAGATTTTATAATTATCAAAATATTGTTTTACTAAAACGTTGTAGTTATATAATAAATAAGTGATGCTATTAACTAGTAAAATAAATTGCAATGAATAAATTTTTGTAGTAATGCATTAACATCTTAAATACAAATTAAACATTGAATGCATGAAGTTATACATGTGAAGTTGATTTTGAAGTTGGTTTTAATGCATTAGTAAACATTCAATCTGTCTAGATAAACATGTGAATCGTGAACAGATGCACATATTCATGACCTGCTGTAAAGGGACTCGGTTTCATAATAAAGACCTGTTTACACGTGTGTTTGTGTGGATTTATCTGTGCACTCGTGTGAACTAGTGATACTAAACCCACAGAAACACAGCAGATCTGCCCATCAGCCTCAGGTAAATGCCATTTTCTTCCGGTTTTGCCATTGTTTTGTTTAGGAAAGTTTTATGGTTCAGTAGATCAGATATTGTAGTTGTGAGGGTTGTTTGATGAAAGCTGTGATGTTGATCCATGTTCCTCTGTGTCTGCAGCATCTCGAGTCTGAATGAGCTTCTGATGGTCTTCTGTGAATCCGGTGAGTTTCTCAGACTGAAAACGCTGAAGCATCCTAAAATTAAATAAATAAAAATAATAATCATAAAAATATGTATATATAAAAATAAAAAAATAAATAGTAATAATAAAAATAAATGAATTAATAATAATAGATAAATAAATAGCAATAAAATAATGTTTACACTTCTGAGTTCAGCTCTGATGTGTTTCAGCGTTCCAGCTCACCTTTAGAGTATTTTATTCATTTTGTAAACAGCTGTGCTGCCGAATATTTTTGTGGAAATGCCAAACATTTTATTTTTTCAAGATTCACAGATGTATAGAAAGTTCAAGTTGAAACAGAAATCTTTTGTAACATTATAAAAGTCTTAACTGTCACTTTTGATCAATTTAATGCATCCTTGATTAATAAAAGTATTGATTTCTTTAAAACAGTGACCACATCTTTTTAACCATAGTGTATGTGTTAACAATAAATAAAACTAAAACCATGAAAAAAAAATTGTTACTTGAATTAAAATGTCAACTAAATGTAAATTAAGTTAAATGTTTTCAAAAACATTTCTCATTTTCATTTTATTTAACTTGATGTAATAAAAATACGCAATCTAAAAATGGAAATAGCATTTAATAAAAAAATGTATTTTATTCTTATTTTAAGTTTATTTTATTTCAACTTACTAAACTAAATAACAAAACAAAACAAAAATACTAAAAATAAAAAGGATACTTATGAAAGCCCATTTCTGCCATGAGATAAAAAAAAAAAAAAAAAAAAAAAAAAATTTAAATTGCGACATTATCTCACACTTAGGACTTTTTTCCTCTGTGTTTTTAGTTTTGCAATTTTTTCCCTGCCACAGAATAAAAAATAAAACAAGGTATCTCCAACTTTTTATCATACATTTCAGACTTTTTTTCTCACAGTTCTGACTTTTCTAACAATTGCAAGAAAAAAAGTCAGACTTTTTCTTTCTCAGAATCTTTTTTTTTTCATCCTGTGGCAGAAATAAGCTTTTAAATAATTAAAACAGAAAATTAAATACAACAATTAATGCATTAACATCTTAACTACAAATTAAACATTCAATGTAGGACTAAAAATTCCTATTTTTTTCCCAGATTAATTTATTATGATTCATTTTGTTGAATCTCATGACAACGACATTTGAAGTTTGAGATTATTCCTTTGAATCATTGTTAAATAGTATTTAAAAGTAACATTTTAGGATTATTAAAATATTATGAACTAAAATCATAGTGATATACTGTAATAAATTACAGATGCCAGACTATTCAGATAATAAATTCCAAGTGTGTGTTTAAAGGAGGAATGAATGTGTAGCCTAAATAACGAAGCATTGGATAATTTGGGCAGCAGGGTCTCATCAGTGTAGATTGAGATTGGACTGATTTTTATTTGTTAAATCCACAAAGCTCAAGTACATCACATGACCTTTACTTGATGACGTAATGTAAGTTTCTCCTCTGAAGTAAAGCTGATTGATCACGGCTATATTTGGGATCTTTGTTGCCATGGATACTGATTATTAATAGCACAGTGATCACATTTATCACAAACGACTGTCTAATGTGTCAAAGCAGTCGATCAGAGCCCATAAGCCTTCAGTCGGAGATGTTTTTAGCTCTTTTACCTGCCAGAAACATGAATTACTGCATTACTAAACCTAACCAAACTCAATCTAAATTGCATGTGATTTTTGTTCATTGCAAACCTGATTTCATTGGTCAGCTCAGTCACACAGTCACCTGTCCGGAAAGCTTTGTGCTTAACTGGTTTGGGGAAAAAAATGCATTGAAAGTATTTAAAGAACAAAATTTCAGTAGAGTCTAAAAGTGTTTATGTTTGACCTATTGATACTTTTGAAACCATGTGTACACTGTAAAAAAAATAATAAATCTGTGAAATTTACGGTAAAATACCGGCAGCTGTGGTTGCCAGACAACATTAGATGTAAGATTAAACTCTAGTGTACACAACTGATACAGTTGATGAAAACTGATGAAAAAAGTTTAGATCTTGTACTGGAAAACAAGACAAAAATACTGAGGAAGAACATCATATTTTGCAGTGATCCAGCTAACAGTGTTCTAAGACACTAATCAGTTATCAAAACATTATTTCTGAATGTTCTCTTGATGTTCAAACCTTTTTTTTTTTTTACATTTTTAAAAGCTTTATTTCTGGTTATACAAATGTTGAGGGAACATTCCATTTTCTCATTTAGCAAACATTATGGGAACATTACTTTGAGTCTTCTCTGAACATTCTAAAAAAAAAAAGAAGTAACATTTAAAAACATTAACTGATTGTCCAACTGAAAAGTTTCAGAAAAACATTCCAAAATAATGTTTGTGTGCTTGAGAACATTATTGAACAGGCATTCTGTTAATGTTAATGGAAGAACATTTGTTCATAACCTTGAGAGAACTTTGAGAACGTTCCCTGTTGCTGGGTTTATTGGTTTGATTTCCTCATCCTCAAATGTGCGGTTATATTATATTTAAATGTTCTGGTTCAGGTCAGGTTTTGGACCTGATGGTCGTTTGTCTTTAACACTGACTGCTGGTCATCTAAATCTCTGGGATTTCAAGTCTCTTCTGCTCACCAAAGCTGCATTTATTTGGTCAAAAATACAGTAAAAATTTTGAAATATTATTATAATGTAAAACAGCTGTTTTCTGTGTGAATATCTGTTAAACTGTAATGTATTTCTGTGATCAAAGCTGTATTTTCAGCATCATTACTCCAGTCTTCAGTGTCACATGATCTTCAGAAATCATTCTAATATGCTGATTTGCTGCTCAAGAAACATTTCTGATTATTGTCAATGTTGAAAACAGTCGTGCTGCACAATATTTTTGTGTAAACCGTGATATATTTTATTTTTCAGGATTCACAGATGAACAGAAAGTTCAGAAGAACAGCATTCATTTGAAATAGAAATCTTTTGTAACACTATAAATGACTTTCGTGCAATCTCTAAGCTATTTCTACACAATAAAATATTTTAGAGCTTGACATAACTAGAAAAATGTATATTCATTCTAAAAATTTCTGACTTGAAGATTAAGACTTCTATAAATTGTCTCTGGTCTAGAATTCTCACTTCCTAAAAAAAAAAAAAAAGACAATTGACAGAAATTAAAATAGAAAAACATATGAAATGTTTAAATGTAAATTATTTTAAGTCATCTTTACGACGCTTGTTAGTGTGCTCTGGTTAAGAAGCACTGATCAAGAGATTATTCAACGATATTCACTCTCTTTCTGACTCTTTCAGTATAATGATCAGTTTTTGGCTTCTGTGTCTTTAAGTCGTGTTTGTGAACATACAGTTGCACCACAATCTTTCAGACACATGTGACTCATCATTTGTTCTTCTGCTGTTTAGGAACAAAGGTATCTGTCCTGCATTCATGAGAGCGATGAGTGTTTCCTCTCGCCGCAGGAAGTGCTCTATATTCTCTGCCAGCGGCTCATTAGTGAGATATATTTCATTCGTATCTGACGAGCTGCTAGAAAATCTGCTTTATTGAGTGAAGTTACATCATCTCAGTCGATCCTCAGCTCTCCTGCGCTTCCCCTGTGGCCATACAGTCAGGTTCATTTCACAGGATTAATATGCATCTTAATTAATCTGCACATACGCTTCTGCTGCTAACTTATGAGCTTTGCTCTGAAATCACATCAGATCTAGTTTTGTGGCCAGGGCAATTATAGTTCAAACCAAAACAAAAGAGGAAAAAACTTGTTACTTGAAGAATGTTTAACTGAAACAAACTAAACAAACATATTTTATAACATCATCAGGATAATCAGGCAACATCATGTGTTATTTTAGTATCATTGAGATATATTCTAGTTTTTATTAATATTTTGAATGAGTTTTTACGTTTATATTTTCTGTTTTGATTTTAATTTAGTTTAATAATTGTGTGTATTTTTATAATTTATAGTAGTTTTTTTTTTCAATAGGTCTATATAGTTTATATATTAACTTTATAGTTTTTGTACATTTTTATTTCACTTTTAGTTTTAGTTATTTTAGTACACCAAGTTAACCTAAATCAAAATTATTTTTATATATATATATTTTATTTTATTTCAGTTAAATTTTATTTCGTCAAACAGCATTTTAATGCATTACTAAGTAATTTAATTACTTTGCCTTGATAATGTAAAGTAAGGGATTACTCTCAATTTTTCTGTAACTTAATTACAGTTACTTCGGATGTAATTGCATTAAATACTGTATAGACTATAGAACAATTCTATATAAAGCAATAGTGGATTTAATGTCTAATCATAATGTTAAAATATGTTTTTAATGTAACCTTCTCCCTTTAGATACTTTGGTCAGTTCAAGAATAGTTTATTTTATTTATTTAAAAGAATTAAAAGCAGAATTAATTTAATAAAAGAATTTAAAAGTAGTTTCATATCTATCCTTGTATCATTTATCCATATCCTCGTATTGAGGTTAATATGGGATTTAGAAATTAATTAACAATAAGTAATGCAATACTTTTGAGAGAGTGAGAGAGTAATTAGTACAGTAATCTAAATACACTGTTGGAGATGTAGCTAGTAATGACTTACTTTTTTATAGTAACTTCCCCAACAGAGATATCAAGTAATGAACATTTTTTTATGGTTTTAGTTTTAAATATTTTAATAATAGTTCAACTAAATGTGAAATGTTGCCTTAAAATGATCATCTGGCTATCCTTCCATACTGCACACAGAATA